TAGCCTGCTCTTTGAACTTTACCCATAGAGCTGCGTGGTAATTACAATTGCAATTCATAGCAACATGTTTCAGAAGAGAAGGAAGTCTCTGAACACGCATGAGTCTCCCCTCACTAATCATAAGCTATCACCAAAAGCATAAAATCATGGAATTTTAAATCAATAATTGATGCTCAATGTCATCTAGTTGAGTCCCAAAGAAATCAGGGCCCAATTTTCCCAGATGAAAAAGAAAATTACAATTGTTCTCAAAAGAGCATAATAATTTTTCTTCTGAAAATATAAAGCAAATTGTTTAAAAATAAATGGAGTGTTTCACACTTAGGTTTGTAAAATATAATAGCTTGAATTGGATTTTCAAATATGCTGTCACCTAGAAAACTGATATGAGGCCGTTTCGACTCCAGCAGCTCAAAAGTGGGTTTTAGTGCAGCATTAAAAGAAGTAACCTTCCCAAAGCCAATAATGGGAACTCAAAGAATGACTGTCAGGCACTCTCAGATAGCTGGAAATGTGAGTTTGGGGCTAGAGTAGGGAGAAGTGGGAAGGAAGCAGTCAAGAGAACCGAAGAGGTAATTTTGTCAGATTCACTGCTCAGCACATTCACAGAAAGCAGCATTTGTTAGTTCCTCTCGTTTCGTGATCCAACATTATCCACTTTTCTCATGCTTACATCAGCAACTAAACACACAACCTCTTAGTGTCCTGTTTGTAATCCATTATTTAAGGAGCTCATGCATAATCCATCACTACCATTGCCTCCTTGCTCATAGTACTACTGCACATGCAAGCAGTACTAAACCAGGAACTATATAAGAAATGATGACAAGAAAGTTATTCATCTTAAGCAATGGAAAAGGGCTATATGTATCTATTGGTTGATCATCTGAAGGTGACCCAGGGTGCAAAAAAGTGCATTATTTGAAAGGCAATATTGCATTGTCAAAAGTGTGTATAGGTAGACAGACATGGGTTTACTTGGACTTTGGGCAAATTAATTAACCTACACGGTGCTCGATTTCCTCACTGGTGAAATAGCTATTTTCATACTTTCCTAGTTGGGATATTGTGAGCATTCAAGAAGACATATGTAAAACTCTGGCCCAGTGCCTAATCCATCCACAGAAAGGACTCAGTAGATTGTAACACAAACAGCAAGAGTGTCCGTAAGAAAAGTATTTCCTTAGAAATTCTTCTAAGCCTAGAAACAATAGTCCAGGACTTGCCTTTAAAGCAGATAAACTAATGACTTCCCTAGAACAAGGTTTTCCTAGTAGTGGTCTGAGTCTATCAGTTTTCCATATTAAAGATTTCTTGCGGGGGAAAAATGCAGTTGAAGGCTTCCTATGGTCATGTAAGTTTTAGATATTGTAGGTTAAGAAAGACCAGTATTTCCTTACTAAATATTTCTTTGGGATTTAATATGCTAATGAGCATTGAAAATGTCCAAGAGAGTAACATAGCATGAAGCGCACCCCAAAAACCTATTCATAGCAGAATTGTTTTTAGGGAATATAGTATGGGACAAGTGACTTATGGAAAAAATGCTGGCAATTGCTGCCATAAAGATACAAGTGATCACAAAAAATTAATTTGACAATGTAAATGGGAAAATCGCATGAAACTCAGAATTCTTCTTTAATAATTTTATTGACAATTAGTAACTCTGCAAATCTCTTTCTGACTTTTTATTTGTATAGTCTAAACATATACCTAAAAATTCAAACATCCGTCATCCTGAAGGAGCCATGGGTTTTGCCAGTCCTTGTCTCCGAAACTGTTGCCAGTACAGCTTGGGGGCTTGGCAGTGCCATTAGCTCAGTACTGAGCCACAAAACCAGAAATCTGATCTCCAAAGGGACCATGCAGGGTGGGCCAGAGCAAAGCAAGGTTTCAGTAGAATGAACTAAATTCCCTTCTGCTCAAGTCTGTGCAGAACTTTCTCGCCTTACAAAGTCATATGAAAACATATCCCTTAGCTTCTGCTTCTGATTCTGTCTCCAATAAAGAAGAAAAAGAAAGTCAAGGGGACCAAATGGGGAACAAACTCTAGGCCACCCTTGATAGCAAAACTATTCCATGTCATAGTTCAGGCAAAATCCAAGACTCTCAAGTCAAGCAAACAAGTACTAAAGTGAGTCACTGGCCCACAAATTGCACTAATCACCAAATCCTGAAACCCACCTTCTCTTGCTGAATTTGAGCAGATAGTAACCAAGAATACAAATGGAGAAAGCGGGTTTGGCATGTGCAAAAGCATTAATGGGTGAAAGTAGCTCCCTAATTGTTACTTAAGGGACACTGTGGGCTTACATCTCCCCAAGAAATATCTCTGCCTTAAAGCTTATGACTGGCAGTCTTTCATGCTTTTAAGTTTTTAAGCCCTGAGCACAAAACTGCAAATCTCCCTTTGAGGGATGGCACATGAACCTGTGCATCTCACACGGAACAAGTACTCACTGAGTAGCCACTATATGCTGGGCACTGTTCTAGATGCTGTTGATACAGCAATTGATTTAAAAAAAACTACAGTCTCTTCCGCCTTAAGAATTTGTATTCTACCATATCATGGCTATCAACAATAGAATGTTTCTGATGTTCATTTTGATGTTACAGCCTACTTGGAACCACATTAGAATTAGTTTGTCAAAGCAAGTTCAAGAGATGATGAACACTGCCCAGGTAGAGCAGGCCAAGACACGGCCATTAGACATGGCCATTATGACTGTCAGGAAAGGATGAAGTCTAAGACCCTGGGCACTGAATCCCTGGGAGTATGTGTGTGTGTGTATGCATACTTACACACACCATGTTTGGCATGGATACTGGAAGTAGTCATGCAAAGAAAACTGAGGCAAGTATGCCAACCTCAAGATTTATCCTAGGCCTGCCTCAAACAAAAATGGTATATGAAAGAACAATAAATGGATACCCACAAAGTACTGTGCCAAAGCAACATTGCCATCTCTATTGTGAGTCTGATGAGTTTCATTAACTATTTACACAGGCTTTGCTAATTGCAAAGGGCACTTGGGGAATTCTAAGAGGGTGCATACTTTTAATGGGAGAATAGAAATTCTGCGTCTGACAACACAGAGTTTTAAAATAAGCTGGGGGAAGCAAAATGATGCAAATGGAAATGTGACAGGCCCTAGTGTCCGCCTGGTTTAAAGAGAGCCCCTGAGGTTGTGCTTGGGCCCATGATCCCTGTCCCAGCCCAGCTGTCTGAACCAGGGGCAGCACCAGATCCCATCTGGAAAAATTAGATTATCATTCTTGGTAGTTTGTAAATGGAGCTATACAACCTTAATTTAGTCTGTAATACTCTTTTATCTAGAGTATCTCACTAATTCCAAAAAAAAAAAAACTTATGAGGGATTGCTGACCCAATTTTGAAAACATAATATTGAAGGTCTCTCTGTCTCTCTCTCTCTGTCTCTCTCTCTGTCTCTGTCTCTCTCTCTCTCTCGCTGTCTCTCTCTCTCTCACACACACATACACACACACCCATGGTGGCCACCACAATTTGGCCAGACTAATAGTGGATGCTGTGCTGTGCTCTGGCTCTCTGCGTCAGTGGACTGTCCTCTATTCTCTCTTCTGTTGACTTCCACTGAGCAGTGTTGGCTGAGGAATAACGTCGTCTTCTCCCCTATCCCACAGGCGAACTGAAAAGCAACTCATAATAAAATGGAAAGCAGTATGAAATAGGTGTAAAGAAACTGTTCGTGTACCTGAGGGTTTTGTAAATACTGATTTTCGTATCATGGAGAGGCTCTAGATTGTGTTTTCCAAAGATGGCTAAAACGGTATCATCTCCCATTCCCTATGCTCTTCTAAGACCTTGCCATTCATTTTCCCATTAAGAGGTAAAGTCCAGTTCGCCTCCTTTTGAATCTGGTTGGGCTTGTGACTCACTTGTAACCAAGAGAATGCAGCAGAATTAGTGCTGTGCGATTTCTAAAGCTAGGTCACAAAAGGCAAGTCGGCTTCTGCCTTCTAAGCTGAGGCGTTCGCCTTTGGATTCTGTGCCACTGTGTAAAGAGTCTGACCACCCTAAGACCACCATGTTGTGAGGAGGCCCAGGTTACATGGCGAGGTCACGTAGATGTTCCAGTGACAGCCCCAAATGAGTGTCTGCTGACAACCAGCATCAGCCACCACACACACAGATGATAACATCTCCAGGACTCTAGTTCCCAGGTGCCTGCATGTCCCCAGGCTCTGAATCCTCCAGCGGAGGCCCAGACACTGGGGAGCACGTGCAACGCATGCCATCCCTGTCATGTCCTGTCAGAGTTCCTCACCCACAGTATTCAGGAGCATATAAAATGGTTGCTCTATGCCACTACAGTTTGGAGTTGTTGGTTTCCCAGCAGCACAAAATGGAACAGAGGCTTAAGTTTACTCTTACCCTAGAATTCCAGGAGATCCTACTGTATTCTCTTTCACTCTTCTGCAGATTTTGAGCATTTCTACCAGGTTGTGAGGATTTCTATCACTTGCTGTCAAACCACTGAAATTAATACAAAATTGGTAATCAAAATGGGGTCGCAGAGAACAAGTGTCAGAGTGGATCGGGACCAGCAGGAAGTTATTGTCCTGGGGTAGAGCCGCAATGCACGTCTAACGATAGCAGTATGTCCTGTTTCTTGGGAGTCAGATGTTTTGCTTCATCAGATAGCTAGACTTTAGAGGAATTCATCATTTTAAATGTCAGAATATCGGATTCAGTTATTGATTCCTTATGGCCTTTAGTAAAGGTCAGGGAAGTGGCAAGCCTCAGCCAACACTGCTCAGTGGAAGTCAACAGAAGAGAGAATAGAGGACAGTCCACTGACGCAGAGGGCCAGAGCACAGCACAGCATCCACTATTAGTCTGGCCAAACTGTGGTGGCCACCATGGGTGTGTGTGTATGTGTGTGTGAGAGAGAGAGAGAGACAGCGAGAGAGAGAGAGACAGAGACAGAGAGAGAGACAGAGAGAGAGAGACAGAGAGAGAGAGAGACAGAGAGAGAGAGAGACAGAGAGAGAGAGAGAGATTATGAACTGATTGAAAAGATTACCAGCAGTTGGAATCAGGATACACAGGAGGAGCCAGAAACGTTAGCAAGCCCTTCAGAATGCACCTTCTCCGCCACCAAGTAAAAGTGATGATTCCTCCCCTTGTAATACTCGATTGTCTGTGATGCAACATTTTGGCAAGACTCCAAAGCAGATTTGCGAAGAAATGCACCCTGAAATCCATGCCAAAACTCCACTCTATAATATCGTGTTCATGCTCTGAGGTCATTAAGGAAAAAAATCACAAAAATAGGTGGAACCCCAGAATTTCCTCTAAAAATCAGAAGACTCACAGGTATGGCTTAGCCCTGAAAGTATAGCCAGCCAAGAGATTCACAAAGATGTTTCAACACTATTCTGGACAAATACAATTCTCAAAAATGAAACCGGCACATGGCTGACCATAGTTTTACAAGAATGGTCATGCAAGAAAAATCCCTCAAACTAACAGCCCCCTGAAATGTTCAAGCATAAGTATAAACAATGTGGGTAATGGCTGATTGTTACTAAGACCTCCCTGTCCCCCCTCCACAGAGAAAACCCCCCAGATGCTCTGGTAGAACAATGGCCAAGCAAAATTCTCCCGGAGGACAGGGTCTGCGGCAGTCCTTCTGGGTGACCAGGTAATTTACTTTGTTATCACATAGATTAATCAGCAAATTAACATTTATGAGCATTGTCAGTCATTTCATTTACTTCATCATCCCTGTAGAAGCCTCCAGTCTCAACCAACATGCAACATGATCTTGGTGATTTGTTCAGCCTTCCTCCTTTATTAATTTTTTTTTTTTTTTTGAGATGGAGTTTCACTTGTCACCCAGGCTGGAGTGCAATGGCACAATGGCTCACTACAACCTCTGCCTCCTGGGTTCGAGGCATTCTCCTGCCTCAGCCTCCTGAGTAACTGGGACTACAGGCGCCCACCACCATGCATAGCTAATTTTTCTACTTTTAGTAGAGATGGGGTTTCACCATGTTGGCCAGGCTGGTCTCGAACTCGTGACCTCGGGTGATCCACCCTCCTTGACTTCCCAAAGTGCTGAGATTACAGGCATGAGACACCATGCCCAGCCTATTAATTTAATTTATTATTTTCTTTTTTTTGAGACAGGATCTTGTTCTATCACCCAGGCTGGAGTGCAGTGCAGTGGTACAATCACAGCTCATGACAGCCTTAAATTCCTGAGTTTAAAGATCCTCTCACCTCAGCCTCCAGAGTAACTGGGGACTACAGGTGCATACCACCATCCTCAGCTAATTTTTTTTCATTTTTAGTGAAGATGGGGTCTCACTATATTGCCCAGGTTGGTCTCAAACTCCTGCCCTAAAGTGATCCTCCCACCTCAGCCTTTCAAAGCGCTGGGATTACAGGTGTGAGCCATTGCACCCACCTTTTTTCTCATTTTGAAAATGTAAAACATTAAAACAGAAATAAGGGAAAAATGAATCTCACCCAGAGGTAACAGGCTCCAAGAACAGTGGCTTCAAAAAGTCTCTCGAGATGAGGGATGGAGGGGCGGGCGGCAGTGAGTGTGTTCGCAGCTGTGCTTGCATCCTGTTACACGGGATGCCTTTTGATGTGTGGGATGACAGGTGTGTGTCATGGAGGGACAGATGCTGGTAGTGTCTTGGGTACAGTTCCCTGGAGCAGAACCTGAGAAGGGGATGTTTGTGCAAGACATTTATTAATGGAGTGCACTCACAAGAAAGAAACATGGAGGGTGGGTGGGAGCCGTATCTGGAAGGGAGGAAAGAAAAGTGGAAAAGGATGTGGTCTCCGATGCAGTCCGGCTTCAGCCTGAGCCCGCGGGGCCTCTGGAGAATAAACCGTACCACAGAGTCTGCTCAGTCTTGGGGCATGAACGCAAGGTGGTTTTTTGTTTGTTTGTTTGTTTTTTGTTTTTTGTTTTTTTTTCCATAAAGCAGTCAGTTATTGGCCCAGCACTACAGGAGAAGATACAAAGAGCCTAGGTCCCTTCAAGGGGAGGGATTTCCCTATCTCCCGGGGATGCTGGCTCCACTTTTCAGCCACCTGCCCAAGATGCCTAGTCCTGCAGGAGGGGCCAGAGGCAGATGATGTAGACAATGATGATGCCACAGAGACAAGTGAGAAATAACGGAAGCAGCTCCATTCCCCCGGCAGCTGTGCAGAGAGGCCTGCAGGTCCGAGCCATCAGTAGCAGCCCCTGGGATATCCAGGACATCAGCACATAGAACCAGTAAAAGGGTCCTCCCTCATAGTGACGCATGTCATAGACTCAGATTTATACAAACAAAAGCTGAGTAAACCATGAAAAGAGTCTCTGGTATTTTCAACAATATCACCACAGAGGAACCGTATTGATTTCCTTGTAAGTATTTAGAATTTTCTCTCTCATTTAAAATGTCATATCCGGTTTTTATCATCTCTTTTAAATTTGTAGAAGAGCATTTCCCAAACTCTACTAAAGTGACAGATTTCCATATCCATCTATCTCGCCAACATCCAGGCACGTGCGGGGTACTGGGAGAGGCAACAGTTCCCATATCAGGGGACTTCACAGTGTGACGGGGATATTCAACCTGCACCTGTTCCTTGCAGGTGCAGGTTGAATATCCCCATCCAGCCCTTGGCTCTTCCAGTCATTTAGGCTCCTGTCTTTCCTGGAGGAAGCCTGGTAGTATCTCCCGGGGACACTGGGTCGACTTTTCAGCCACCTTCCCAAGATAGATGGGACCAGGGGCCAGATGATGTGGACAATGATGATGTCACAAAGAGAAGTAAGATATAAAGGAGGCGACTTAGCGGGAAAGGTGATGTGCTGGGTTCTGAAGAAGATGAGAAATACCAGGCCAGGCTGTGCTTTGCCTCTTGGCCTCTCCATTTTCCTTCCTCACTTTTTTCAGCCACAGTGAATCTCTAAGACCTAGTTTTGGCAGAAGGAAGTACCAGAGGGAGCTGAGTTGTTGAACATTATGTGCGATCACGTAATAACTGCAATCAGAAGGGAAACACGCAGAGTTCTGGAGAAAGAGAAATTTGCGTTTGTGGACACCTGCTAGGAGCTAGGCACTTTCAAATAGTTCCTGTCACCTAACTTAAGCATCATTACTCAAGTGTTATTTAACTTAAGTATTATGCAGAGAAGTCGAATAATTAGAAAAGTGGCATGACTTATACAAGGCAACATAACAGCTAGAATTTAAATGTAAAACTGCCTGATTCCAAATCCACACTCTTTCTACTACAAGGCCTTGCCCCCTCCTCTGGGCTACACTGACATCAGAGTTGCAGGGGAAGAGGCCATGTCTAACGACAGCCCCCTTTACACGCCAACCTAGTCATGGTCACGGTGGTGTGATGACTGAAAACAAAAAGGAACCAGGATGAAAAATTTGTCTCTGAGGACCCAGAGTAATAAAATCCCAGGATAAGGAAGGCCTTTAGTGGATATATGGCCTGCTGTCCCGTTCAGTCTAGAAAACGCCTCCTCAGGGTCCTGCAGGCGGTCACCTCCCTCTGCAGGAGGATGTCCAGTGGGAGGGGAGCCACTTCCCCAGGCCTCCCTGACCCTAATGTCAGAAGGTGCTTTCTTAGGTTGAATCAAAATCTCTCTCCCTGTGTCTTCTCATTGCTTCCTGTTCTTTTCTCTGGAGCAACACAATGTAAACAAGGTTATTTTCTTTTGTGCACATCAGAATTTCATATTCAAAGGCCATCATCAGCTCTCTTGTTAGAAGGGATCCGGGCTGAACACCCTCTTTTCTCTCAATGATCCCAGCTGTGACACAGTTTTCTCACCTTCAACATCCTGGAGGCCCAAGACTATTCACATATGCCACATATATCTCTAATCACATCCTATGATTATGACTTGGATAGAAGATAAACACTATTTCCATAATGATGAACGTAAGACATTTGAGATTTTTTAATTTTTAGAGTTGTTATTTTGAATTTTTTACCTTCTTAAATCTAAAAAATACTCCCTTTAGAACTCTTCATTTCTTTCCTAATTTCTCTATCCTACTCTCAAGCAGGATCCACCTGCCAAACGCATTGCTCATTAGGCTGTGATACCAAACTGCACAGGAAAAGCTTAATCTTCAAGAACCTGTAGCTATCCTCCTAGACATCCATATCTCCTTGCCCTAACCCTTTGATTTATGTTACTGTTTTTAAGTCCCATTTTCCAGGCATTTGCTAAGCCAGTAGAGAACTGGGCCAGTTTCCAAAGTCCTGCTAAGAAGTTAATGTTGAATAAAATTTTTTTCAATGCAGCAATTGATCCGCCGTCATTGCCTGTTTGGGCTTCCCAACCACAGCTCCAGGCAATCAAGGAGAAGGCTTATGCCATTTAAACATCTCCCTTCCAGCAAAAGAATCTGGATTGCTTTGTCAGAAAAGTAAAAAAGAGACATGTCCAAATTATAACTCATCTCTCTACCTTCAGCCTTATCAACTATTTTAAGTATCATAACAACTACTCACCAATTGCCTCAAGTCTCATTTTCTCAATGTGATTTCAGTCACTCTGTCTTCAAAGACTATTTTATAGAGCAGCAGACAGATCCCAGACCAACTCTGTTCATTTCTCAAACTCCTGTTCCACGCCCAGAGGCATCCCCTTTCCAATGACTAGACAGGGGCTGGGGACATTTAGAGGCCTGGGTACATTATCTCAAGGCTGGACAACTGTGAAGAGTCAACCCAGTCCCAGAGCTCCTTGCAGAATTGGCTGAAGCCGCTCTTGCAATCTCATTGAGGTTCAAATATTAATACCTCCTGGCCCAACCCAATCGACTCACCTCCAACAGGTGGTGTTCCTCAGCCTTAGTGGGAAATAGTGTTATTTCCCATTAAATCAGCTATCTGCATGTAAATGTCACAGTCTGTTTCCCGTGAAAACCAAACAACTATATACACACACACACACACACACACATATATACACACACATATATATACACACACACACATATATATATACACACACACATATATATGTGATAGAAGAAGGAAAGACATCCAAAGTTGTAGGTGACCTAGATTGGACACATATAGTTGCCTCTTATTGTCGGTGGGGGATTTGTTCCAAGACCCCCCTCAAATACCAAAAGCCATGAATGCTCAAGTCTCTGATACAAAGTGTTGCATATAACCTATGCATATCCTTCCATGTGCTAACTCAGGGGAAGACCACGAAGAGCCTGTGTTCTCTTTAATATTCATTTTATTCTTCGTTTTAAGGCATTTGCCTCAAAACCCTGCAAGGTTACTCATCACTGCCAAATTGGAGTCTGTGAGATTCTTCGGAAGAACCATTCATATCACAAGTTTATATTCAAGTGTCAGTCACTGAGGGATTATTGGGGGCAGTCTGACTTTTTAATGATTGCCATTCTAACTGGTGTGAGATGGTGTCTCACTGTGGTTTTGATTTGCATTTCTCTGATGGCCAGTGATGATGGGCATTTTTTCATGTGTCTGTTGGCTGCATAAATGTCTTCCTTTGAGAAGTGTCTGTTCATATCCTTCACCCACTTTTTGATGGGATTGTTTGATTTTTTTCTTGTAAATTTGTTTAAGTTATTTGCAGATTCTAGATATTAGCCCCTTGTCAGATGGGTAGATTGCAAAAAT